GGGGGAGAGAGTTGGTTTGGAGGGGAGACAGTTGGTTTGGGGGGAGACAGTTGGTTTGGGGGGGAGAGAGTTGGTTTGGGGGGGAGAGAGTTGGTTTGGGGGGGAGACAGTTGGTTTCGTGGGGAGACAGTTGGTTTGGTGGGAGAGACAGTTGGTTTGGGGGAGAGAGTTGGTTTGGTGGGAGAGACAGTTGGTTTGGGGGGGAGACAGTTGGTTTGAGGGGGAGACAGTTGGTTTGGGGGAGAGACAGTTGGTTCGGTGGGAGAGACAGTTGGTTTGGTGGGAGAGACAGTCGGTTTGGTGGGAGAGACAGTTGGTTTGGTGGGAGAGACAGTTGGTTTGGTGGGAGAGACAGTTGGTTTGGCGGGGAGACAGTTGGTTTGGTGGGAGAGACAGTTGGTTTGGTGGGGAGAGAGTTGGTTTGAGGGGAGACATCTGGTTTGGGGGAGAGACAGTTGGTTTGGTGGGAGACATCTGATTTGGGGGAGAGACCTCTGAGGCTCAAGCCCCAAGAACACTGTGTCCCCTCCGGCATTGCTAGGCGCTCTGGTGTGCTAGTGGATGCTTCCCCACGTGGCCTGGTGTCCACTGGGGCCTCAAAGGCTGTGCCCTGAGTAACTCGTTCTTCAGGATGATGATTCTCACAGGCGGCAGTGAGCGCCCAGCAGAAGGGCTTGGGTGTCACTGCCTATGAGGGGCAGGGTAGGCCTAGGGTGGGATGTGGGATGACACATGGCCCCTCGAAGGTAACTGCTGTCCAGAGGGACCTGCTCTCTCCTGGCAAGTGCAGAGCATCTGTGGGCTCTTCCTCAGGCCGGGACCAGCACATGCCAACCAGAGGGGCATCCTAATGCCAGCCTCCTGTGTTCTCCGGAAGGACGAGGCTGAAGGTGGGGCCACTGGCCACTTCATTCAGCCCCCAGTGGGAGTCGGTCACTTCAGGGAGCTCCACCCCACAGACTTAGCACAAAGTCTCACTCTGGGCTGGGGGTTGGGAGCCAGGCCCCCAGGACCAATCACAACGGAGTGAACATTCACCCCCAGACATCACTGAACCAGCCCCACATGGGAGAACAAGCCCTGCCCTGAACACCTGCAGGCATCCCCGGGAGGGCCGGGACTCTGCTGTGCTCCCCTCACCCTGACTTGGGGAGCACCAAGCCTGTTATGTGCATGGACAGAGCACCCCGGACCCCACACCTCATGGAGCCAGGACCCTGAGAAAGAGCCAGACAGCCCTCCCCAGCCCTGGCGTGTGGCCTCAACCTAACTGCACTTCAATGGGTGCTTCTGATCTGGGAGCTTGATTCTTAGACCAGCGCAAGGTGAACCTGCAGGGATCAAAGGCTTCCACACAGTCTAGGCTTCCGTGATGAGAGGAGCCCGAGGCCGTTGGCTCCAGATGGGGAAACTGAGGCCACAAGAGGAGTGGCTCCTCTGAGGTTGCATGGCTGGGCGCTGGCAGGGGCATTCCTAGACCGCAGGGCTCCTGTCTCCCGGTCCAGAGCCCTTGCAGCAGCCACTACCCTGAAGCCTTTTTCTGCTCAGCTCCACCCAGTCTTCAGGTGGCCGCCTCCTGCCGCTATTGGGAGCTAAGTCTGCTGCCCCAGCGGCCTGGAGCTGAGTGACTCAGTGGGAGTGGCCCTCTCCCTTGATCTTAACAAGCAAAAACCCCAAAACTGCATTTGTTTTACCTTTTCCTCCAGTTCCTTTATTTGTCTCTTCTGAGCTTCTATTCTTTCTTCTAACTCTTTAATTCTCTGCAAGGTTAAAAGGAAAAAAATCTTCAAAAGTCACAGTATTTGGGAAACCCAAATCTTTCAAGATTTTCATGCATTTCCTTGGTAACAAATGGTGGCAGAGCAACTGGCATGGCCATGGGCTGTGGCTCCTGACGAGGACACCAGCCTTTGCTGCGTTGTTCCAGCAGGAGAGCAGAGGGCCTTCCCCATGTCACACTCCCTGTGGTGGGAACAGTATGCGTCCGATTCCTGCAGCTTCAACTCAGAAAGCACGACGCCAGACATCCAGGGAAATGGTAGGAATGCATTCCCGGTCCCCCCAGATGCCACTGCAGCAGAGTAAGGGGCCGCCAGAGGGTCACAGGAGAGCTGGGCACAGAATCTCCTGGTGAGGGGGATGCCAGTGCCTGGGGTCCCCCAAGCATCTGAGCTCCAACCACAGCCCCTCTGAGGCAACAAAGGGGCTGCAGGTGACTGTCCTTACCCTGAGCCCCCAGAGGCCAAAGGGGCCCAGGAGGCTAACGAGGAGCCAGCAGAGCACGTCCAACATTAGCCCACCGATGCCCACGGCCAGCTGGCACACAGGGCACTTGTTTATGTGAATTTCAATTAAGCCTTCGCTAGGGGTGGTCTTCACAAGGAATACATCCATAAATCCGCCTCCCAGCCAACCTGGATCATGGAGGAGCTGGGCTGTGTCCTACTCATCTGGGTCGTCCAGTCTGCGAGGCTCCTCACCTCCCATTAGAGCAGAACTGACCCAACAGGCCTGAGGTCCCACAGTGCCCTGAGGCCAAGGCACACCAGGGCTGCTGTCCCCAGAGAGCACCCTTGCCATCAGGAAACGGTGTCATGGAAAAGACACGGTAGCCGGGGTCCAAAAGAGGAGAACTGCCACCCAGAGGCCTCTGCAACATGCCCAGGACACGAGGCTGGTGAGGGAGGCAGTCTGGCCCGAGTGCCTGCCATTGACAGGCATGGCCATCAGGGGCATGGCCATCAGGGGTGTGACCACAAGAGGGCGTGGCCAACAGGGGGCGTGGCCATTCTAGGGCATGATCATCAGAAGGTGTGGCCATCCAAGGCTCTGTGTGTGGAAGGCATGACAATTGGGGGGCATGGCCATCAGCGGGCATGGCCATTGGGGGCACGGCTACCAGGGTGTAGCCATCAGAATATGTGTTATGAGGGGTGTGGCCACCGGAGGGTGGGGCCACAGAGGCATAGTCGTTGGAGATGTGGCCACAGGACGCCCCGCCTGGCTCCGTGCAGGCCCAGGGCCAGGTCTTTACCCCAGTCCCACTTCCGCCTGCCATGCACCTGCTGAGCCAGCTGCAGCAGCTCCATGCGCTCCCGCAGGATCTGGGCATCCCGCTCGCGCAGCTCACTCATAACCTGGCGTTTCCACTGCTCCACGGCCACCTTGAGCTTCTCGCGCTCCTCCTCCGACAGCAGTTCAGCCACCTTGGCCCCGGCCTCCTGCTGCAGGGCGTCATACAGCATGGCTTCCAGCTCCAGGATGTGCTGGGGCGGAAGGGGAGATGCCTTAGTCCTTGCCTTCTCCCCAGAACAAACCCTTCAGGAAGGGCAACGGAGGCCGGGCCACCCTCCGCCTGGGAGCGGGGCCAGGAGGATGTGCAACAGACAGGAACCCAGTGCTGTCGCCTCTGCAGAAGGACTGGGGCCCCACGGACCTCCCCAGTCTGTGAGAAGACCCTAGAAGCAGAGACGCTGACCAGGCCAGCAGAAGCCAGGACCCTGAGCCCCAGGGTGGGGGAGGACTGAGCTATGAAGTGGGGAAGCTGAGTGGGAGGTGGAGGGGCTGCAGGTGGCCTGTGGGGACACAGCAAGGTGGGAGGGAGCTGAGCGTGGGGTCACCCGCTGCCTCCCCAAATCCAATTCATAGACGCATGTAACCCGATCCCGGTGCTATAACCAGCAGCCAAAGTACATAACCCAGCAGCCAAAGTACACACCTTTTCATAAATTCCTGGGGTTTGGCAGTTTGCTCTGCATATTCCAAAGCTTTTCTTAGGCAAATTTTATTGACAGGATCTTTGTAAAAAACAAATTCTCACACTACAGAGGCTCTTTCTTCCTAACCAAATGTAACATCTTCAGAGACAGCAGAAATATGAGGAAATGGAAAAAAAAAACTTTTGGGCCTCAGTTACACTTTACTGTTCTTGACGGCCACAAAATAAACTGTCCCCAGCTGTCACAACCAGCTCGCACATCAACCTCCACTTCTTAGAGGAAAAGAGCTCGGTGCCTTTAAGATGAGCTCCAGCTTCTAAAAATAAAGCTGGTCGACTGCTGACTTGGAACTAACCTCACAGTGGCTTCACGTGCACCTGGTGGTGTGGTGGTGGGAGGTGCTCACCAGGACCTCCGTGGTGACATGAACTGTGGGCTGCCTGGATGAGCCTCCCTGCCTTCGGCAGCCACACAGACCACGGTCTACCACACCCATGTCCAGAGAGGCAAAGTCGGCACCAGCCCCTGCGGTAAAGAGCTGTCATTGCCCCAGGAGGAACCAGCTCTTCCCCTCCTTGCCCCAGTGTCTCCCAGAAGAAGAGCAGGAAGTGCAGAAAAAAACCTCAGTGCTCACAGGCCTGTGGGTCACCTGAGGGCACCTGAGTGACCGAGAGCCACACCGTGAACGACACAGGAGAGAACCAGGCAAGCGTGCAGGGAAAGGGAAGGAAATCAACAGGAACTCAGGAAACTCGGAGCATCCCAAATGAGGGGGCCTTCCTGTTGGAAGTGGAGAAAGAGGCCCCCCAAATATCACACAGGAAGCAGACCCACCAGCATCACCCAAGAAGAGACCCCCCACCAGCATCACACAGGGAGAGGCCCCCCCCAGCATCACACAGGAAGAGACCCCCCACCAGCACCACACAGGGAGAGGCCCCCCCCAGCATCACACAGGAAGAGACCCCCCAGCATCACACAGGAAGAGACCTCCCACAGCATCACACAGGGAGAGGCCCCCCCAGTATCACACAGGGAGAGACGCCCCCCAGCATCACACAGGGAGAGGCCCCCCCCAGCATCACACAGGGAGAGAC